TGTCGGTGCCCTTCGCCACTGCCGGGTCTCTCGCACGGTGTCGGTGCCCTTCGCCACTGCCGGGTCTCTCGCACGGTGTCGGTGCCCTTCGCCCCTGCCGGGTCTCTCGCACGGTGTCGGTGCCCTTCGTGCCTGCCGGGTCTCTCGCACGGTGTCGGTGCCCTTCGCCCCCTCCGAGTCCCTCGCATGGAGTCGGCGCCCGTTCCCCTTGCCAGGTCTCGCACAGTGTCAGTTCCCATTGCCCCCGACGTCTCCCTTGTTGCATCAATGCCACGGCGACGAGAAAAGAATCCGTATACACTCTCGCGTATATTAATAATATCTGCGGCCGCCCCTAGATGACGTCGGCCTCGCGCAACAAGCATAAACCGGTCGCGAGGTCGACGGCGGTGACGTTCGTTTGTTTTTTCTGCGGCGCAGACGCTGACGGAGGCGAACCTGGAGATCTCGCTGCAGCACAGCGACGGCGGCGGCGATGCGCGGGACGGGTGCCCGGCGTTCCGGCCGCGTGCGAGCGTCGACGCGCTGCATGCGTACGCAGATCGCAGCGAGGAGGAGGAGGCTGAGCATCCGCGAGGTGGGTAGGGGGCTGAGCAGCTGTTATGTCTGTTACGTGTGTAGCTGCTGCTGCTGCTGCTGCTGCTGCTTCTGCTGGTGGTGCTGCTGCTGCTGCTACTGCTGCTGCTGCTGCTGCTGCTGCTGCTGCTGCTGCTGCTGCTGGTGCTGCTGGTGCTGGTACTGCTGCTCCTGATGCTGCTGATGCTGCTGCTGATATATGTGTAGCTGCTGTTGCTGCTGCTGCTCCTTCTACTGCTGCTGCTGCTGCTGCTGCTGCTGTTATATGTGTAGCTGCTGCTGCTGCTTCTGGTGCTGCTGCTGCTGCTGCTGCTGCTGCGGCTGCTGCTGTTATATGTGTAGCTGCTGCTGCTGCTGCTACTGCTGCTGCTGCTGCTGGTACTGCTGCTGCTGCTGTTATGTCTATAGTTGCTGCTGTTGTTGTTGTTGCTGTTGCTGTAGCAGATATTGTACTCTTTCTTAAAAAGTGGCGGGTTTTAATTTCATATTCCAGAATTCATATTCCAGATCGGAATATTGTTGCCATTTCCTATCAGAATAATCGCTGCTAAGAGTTGTAAAAAAAATTCCTGCAGCGCTAAATCAGTGCAATACTGATTACAAATATAATAATAGTAATAATAATAATAGTAACAATAATGATAACAATAACAATATAATAACGCGTGAAACCTCTCGGCAGTCGGTGAGGAAGCAGACGAGTTTGCGTCGCGATCGAACCAGGTGTGGAACCTGTGCTGCGCCCTGTGGGGAAGAATCACGGGCGTTGCCGATGACAACGAAGACGACGACAAACAACAGAACAGCTATGCGTGTCGCATGGCACGCCGCGAGGCATTCTCTCAGTGGCTGTCGTCGACGGCGAGTGGCGCCATCGAGCGAGAGGTTCAGGAGGCAAAGACAAAGGTGACGCTCACTTGTTTCATGATGCGCCTTTGCATCTGTTTGTCTGTCTTGATCGGTAGACGATTGTTTCTTGGTTTTATCAACGCTAATATTGGAATGTTGTGTCTTATACAAAATGTTGCAGGATGGGACAATAATTGGGGGGAATAAGACTCTAATTTTCACTTTTTTCACGAATGGAAAAATATTTTTAATTTCAATGCTATATGATGTCTTTAAAAGTTATTACTTTAACAATTACTGTATAATTTTACAATACTTGTGTTATTATATATATATATATGTGATTTCTTTACTGTCGACTGTTGCTATTCCTCATCCTGTTTCCTACTTTGCTTCTGTTACATCTCATTATAACACTGGCCCTCTATTGTTGTATCGCAGGGATCCGGGAGTGCGGCGGCAGTCTTCAGCCTGCTCACTGGGAGACAGATAGCAGAGGCGTGCGAGTTGGCGCAGGCCGGCAGCAATCATAGACTGGCGCTGCTCATCTCGCAGGGCCTCGGCTCTCAGATCGTGAGGGACCTCGTGCAGAAGCAGCTGTGCATGTGGGAGGAAGGAAAGGTGCGAGCGACAGTCTAGCGTAGCCGCGGTAGATGCAGCCGACGATGGCCCGCGTTTACTACCGTACCATTCCTTGTGATTCCTGTCATTTCGCTTGTGGGAACTTTAGTAGCAGTAATGATGTTGTCATTTTTCCATTGATGAATAGAAATATTTATATTGAGAAATACGAGTAATGTACTACTCGCACGAAGATGGTTGTAACATGTAACATAAGTATAATATAAGAATAGTATTATAATTATGACGATACAAAAATTATAACGGTAATAATGTAATAATGTAATACTAATAAAATAATACGTGAAACATAACAAATTATATCATAACTAAATTATTAAATATTGAAAAAAAAATCGTTTATGTGAATAGTAATAAATAATGGTAAACAATTAGTATATAGCAAAAAAAAACAACATTCATCTCTAAAAAAATGTCATCTTGACAACCACATGAGGGCAGCACTGACCCGTCTCTCCCGCCTCCTTGTAGTCGGACGCCTTCATCTCCGCCGACCGGCTGAAGATCTTCGGCATGCTGGCGGGCGTGCTGGTGTGGCCGACGTCGAGGGGTGAGGCTGTGAACGCGTGCGGCGGGCTGGACTGGCGGCGCGCGCTCGCCCTGCACCTGTGGTACGAATGCCCGGCGACCGCGAGCGTGGCAGACGCTCTCCTCGCGTACGACGACGCGTTCAAGGTAGGCGCGCTCCCAGCAGCGCCCCCTGGTGGAAGTCGTGTGCGGTCGGATGTTTTTTTGGGGGGGAAGGTCGGGTGAAGGTCATGCAGGCTGTCGCGTGTTTTTAGGGGGAAGGTCGTGTCAAGGTTGCGGTGGCCGTCCGTGTTTCCGAGAGGTCGAAGTCGGGTAGGTTGTGGAGTACCAGCTTCCCCTGTTTCCGAGAGAAGGTCGATTTAATGCCACATTCGAGGTCACGGCTAGTGATGTCACGATCATCGATTATACTCGATCATCGGTTGAACAGTGGCTCGAACCAAGCGCTTGGTTATCAAAATCCATAATCAATTTCATCGAAAAAAATAATAATTGGGGGTTTTTTTATTTTTTTTATTTGAACAAGAAAACTTGGAAAAGTGATGAGAATCAGTACATGTATTATACACACAGTAGTAAACAGTGCAAAACAAACAGTAAACAGGGCTAAACAAGCACATACATGCACACACGTACATGCACACGACGTTACGCACACGCAGGCATTCAACACCCCGAGTAACCGATTGTAACCGATCATCGGTTACTTGGGTCCAACCGATGATCGATTACGAAATTACAACCGATTGACAACACTAGTCACGGCTCTCCGTGGCATTCAGCGTGAAGGGCGAATCGTCCTAAACGGGCGTTGCGGGAAAATCAGGGATCAATCAGCTGTGGTGTGGATGTTTTGAGAGCATAGAGTAATGGAAATGGTCGCTCAGCCAACCACCGCGCATGTCCATAACGCATGCTCACTTGTCACGCAGGGCAAGACTCCCTACGGAGCGTACGCGGCGCCGCCGCTGCCGCCCTACCTCTCCCGCGAGCGAGGGGGCGCCACCGACGACGACGACGACTACGAGGACGACGACGCTCACCGCGTGTGGGACACGTGCTACCACCTGGTGAAGCTTTACAGCGATCGCTCGCATCGCTTGGAGCGTCTGCTGGCGCCGGCGACGACGACAGCCGACCACCTCGACTACAGGCTCAGGTAACGTGGCCGGTCGCCCGGGGGACGCGCGTTTAAGGACGCGCGCCTGCCTGTTCGAAATCGCCATGGGGAATGAACGTGCAGATCGTTTTTTTTGTTAGTGTGCAGGGTTCGTAGCGGGTCTTCCAAAGTCTTATAAGTACTTATCTTGCCAAAAATAAAATAAGGGCCCTTATTAGTACTTATTTTTGGTGAAATCTTAGAAAAGTACTTAATAGTCCTTATTTTTTGCCAAAGGACCATTATATATACCATATATAATATGGAATAATTAAATCTGCTGTGCAATTGTGTATATAAATATTATTAGTGTACTTTAATAGTTGGTGTAGTAAAGTCTATATGAGTTTATATTTATTATACAAAAATGGGAATTTTTAGTAGTGTGTAAGTTAGTTGATTAAATGATTAACTCGTTCAAAGTTTCCCTAAATTGAAAAAAGAAAAGATTAAGATGAGATCTTGTCGCATACGCACTGACACTGATCGCTATAAAAAATATAGAGAGAGATGTAGATTATATATGTATGTTATTTTATACGTTGTTTCTCGCGACAGCTGGCATCTGAGTCGCGTACTGGAGGCGCTGGGATACTCACACCTGTCTGACTACCGCTCGTGTCAGCTACACGTGAACTATGCTGCTCAGCTGGAGGCGTGCGCGCTCTGGCACTGGTCCATCTACGTGCTGCTACACATACCGGACAGACACCGGTACGTACCTACACATGTACATATAATATACTCTCTATATAATATACTCTACTATGTACATATAATATACTCTCTATATAATATACTCTACTATGTACATATAATATACATATAGATAGTGAGAGAGAGAGCAAGAGAGAGAGAGTGAGCGAGCGAGAGAGAAAGAGAGAGAGCGAGAGAGAGAGAGAGAGAG